TCTCTCTCCCTTCCTCTCTGAAATAAATAAAAATGTATTAAAAAAATAAAATAAACAAAAATATAACTAAAAAGAAGTGACTGTGATTTTGCCTGCTGTCTGCCAATCCATCAGCCACATCCAGTAGTTTGGCCTATTCCATAGAGGGACCAAAGCTGAGAAACATCTCTTTGCAAAACCCTACAGTTCTGACCCCATTGCATACAAGCAGGGGCAAAGGCTTATTTCCTAACACAACATAAATAAAATAGACATGGATGAAGGGCAGGGTATGGTACTCTCACCCTGTTAAGCACCTCTTATACTCATAGACAGCATCAGTCCCCAAAACCTTCTACTTATGAGATGGAGAATACAGAAACAAGGAGTCATATAGCTAGTTGTCAAAAGGCTGATATTAGCCCTGCTTAGGTTTTAATCCTAACTCTAATACATATCCTTTGTAATGACACCTATAAAAATACTTATCTATTAGGGGTTTGATGTAGACATGCAATGTATATAAAGTGCTTTGCACAACAGTAAGTGCTCTGTAAAAGAGAGCCATTGCTATTAACATGATAAAGAGAAAAGGAAAACAACATTTTCTGAAAATTTACTGTAAGACAGGCTCATTATTAGGAATTTACAAATTTCATCCCATTTCATCCTTCCAACTATCCAGCAAAATGGGTAACAGTATTACCACTTTATATCACTTTATATATGAGAAAATTAAGGCTCAGAGGCACTTTGGGTCCTGTTCTCCTCTCCCATGCTTGACGGCCCATTTTCCCCACTGGACTGATTCCCCCATCAGCCAGCCATAAGGCTAGCAATGCATATCCACTTCAGTGTGTTTTGTTTTGTTTTGTTTTTTTTGGAGATAAGGTGTGACTTTCACTCAAAATAATTCAACCACAAGCAATAATTAAGTTTGTCCAATTCATCCAAATTTGTTTTTGTAACAATTTTTAAATATATTCTAACAAGAAAAACACATTGCAGCCTGGGTACAAAAAGCAGAAACAGAAAGGGGTACCCTGGATTAAAACACCGCAGCACAAGGAGCACAAAGCCTCTTCTCAACAATTCCAGAGGCGCAAATCCTCCCATCTCACAGAGCAGAGAAACTGGCAGGAGGCAAGGTGATAATCAGCTCTTGCTCAGTTCCCCAAATTAGATGTTTTCTTTTATAAATCTGTGCCTTGGCAAATGCTCCTTCCTCTGTTTTAAAATGTACTTCTATTTTCACCAGACAAATTATTGCTCCTTCCTCAAAATCCAACTCAAATCTCTCCTTTTGGGGAGCTTTCTCTGGCACCATCATAAAGTTAATTGATCCAATAGCACAGTTTATCCTTATTCGATAACTTTTATCTCACTAGATTATAAGATTTTAGTTATCCGTTTCTCCTCCTACCAGCCATTTTCAGGAAGAAGGTGAGGATAGAATATATTGATAGTAGGTATAGTTGTCTGTGTGTGTGTGTGTGTGTGTGTGTGTGCGAGCGCGCGCGCGCGCACACTTATTTGTGTTTAAAATAATATCTGACATGATAATTTATTTGATTTGTCTTTGGTCAGACTCTGCTGCATTTAAAAATTTCAAGCAGCATTAAAGAAATGCATAAAATTATTTTCTCCATCTTAATAGTGCATGAGTTTAGTAAGTATGAGAAACACTGAGCTAGACATAGATCCTTAAGGGCAAGGGCCACATTTTAGTCATTTCTGTATTCCTAGTCCAGAGCCAGGAACAAGTAAGTGTGAGTCAATGTTTGCTGAATGAATGTATATGCCCAAAGTCATAATGTCAACTGGGCTGGAATCAGAACATGTTAGAGCAGAGCAGGGTCTAAGTACCAATCAAAGCTTCTTTTCCTCTCCCTTTCTCTCCCCACCCCTCCCTCATTCCTCCTAAGCCACCCCATTCTGTCCTCTCAGGGAGAGGGGAGAAACATTGCCTTGGTGCCAGAATACTATTAAAAGGATTAATTTAGGGACCAGTGTTTGGACTGTCACATCCAATCACTACCACAGATCTACAGCTTCCCAAATCAAGCTCATGCAAAGAGGAATCAATTGCAAGGACACAGAGGGTCTGAACAGGCATACTAATGGCCTCCTGAGGTGCCAGCGGCCAGCTCTGACACTCCCATAAATTATCCGCCTTTTGATTTTACCTGTAGCTGTGGGGCACAAGGCACAATTTTGAACATATCAAAGCAATCTCTTATAACCCAAGGCTCCCCCAAGAATGTCCCCAAAGGAGGACGGGCTAAAAACAATGACCCAAAGGGAATCTGCTTCTCAACAGGCCTGTTCCTAGCAGCCATCAATTAAAATCCAACAGGACCAAGAGTATAAAGTAGGACCCAAATTAAGCCTAGCATATCTGGATAAGGCATGCATCAGAACACATTTCTGCAGTGACTACACATCTCTGACTCAAAGGAAGAGAAATCACAGCAATAAACTAACAATTTCATCTGGAGGCAAATCTGCACTAGCTCTCACGATACCTTACAGCATGACCTTGGGCAACACACTTAACCTTACTGGGCCTCAGTTTCCTCAATGAGTAGCAGGGATAATAATGCTGACCATCTGACCCACTTCCTAGAGTTGTGAAAAGTAATAAAAGGCATCCAGACGGACTGGGAGAGATGACTGGTCACATTTCGGTGAATTTCTTTGGGTAGCTGCTCTCTCAACTCGCTTCACTGATGGTATGGGGACTAAGGTCCACACTGAACAAAGTTCTGGGATTCTAAATGGGATTCCTGCTCTCTGAAAATGTTCCATTATGAAGAGCAGTGCCTTGCTTTAGTTGTAACTTCCTCCTGTCTGCTGACGGCCTCACCTCCGCCAGGGTCTATACTTCTATCATATGGCCACAAATACAATCTGTGAGGACCCAAAATATACTAAGCCACAGGCCAACTCACCCAATTATTGGCTGCTTTATAAAAATTATTGTGTAAAATACTATACACTAAATACACATCTCTGCAACTATTTAATAAAAGTTAAATACACTGAACTAAGAGCTTTACATATAATATCTCATTAAATCCTTTAACCAACCCTATTAAGTTCCATTATCCCTTTTACAGGTAGGAAAGCTAAACTCAGGTAAGTCACTTACCCAAGGTCACATAACACTGTATCAGAAACCTACAGGCTTCTCTTCAGCAATGCAAGTACACTGGGGCTTGTAGGAGGAGGAAACAATTCATCAAACACTCAACTTCAATTGGTCCCTCTGCCTAAGCAACATTCCCGAAACCAGAACAAAGGGCATCATTTTGCCACAAGTAAGGAGAGACTGAGTAGGACAATAATGAGGGCAATTCCTGGAAAGCTTAGGAAAAGGGGTGGTTCTCTATGTGTACGGTTCAAGAAGTTCAAAGCAATTGTCATTGAGTTATAGGCCCTAAGACCAAGATCTCTACCAGAGCTCCATGTATTTCCAACTTCTTTAAAAAGAAAAGAGTTCCCAAAGTCTTTTCTATCATTTGACACCAACATTCTCTTCCTACATCTTTTCTAGTCTGTGAAATAGGAGCTGGTATCACCAACAACTTCTTTGGTAGACATCTTTTAAGCTCTAATAGATGGCCTGGAAATCCGGAAAGAGAATAGTATACTGTATACATATATACAAAGATTCAGTTATACTCAATCTTTACGTGTCAAAATACTGCCTCAAAGAGGGAAATATAAAATGCTACCCATGTAACTGCTACAGTCACCTTATTGGTCTCTGTGCTTCAGTATTGTCTCCTTTGACCCATTCTTACCACTGAAATCAGAGCAAACTTTCCAAAACAGATATTATCAATCCACTGCTTAATACCTTTTCATGAATCCTTACTGCGCTTATGAGAGTCTGCTCTGGGGCTGGCAAACCATGGCCGACAGGCCAAATCTAGCTGCCACTGTTTTTACACATTTTGCTGGAACACAGCCACGTCATTCATTTTTGTTCTATGTCTGCTTTCATGCAGAGTTGAGTAGAGTCGAATGATTGTGACAGAGACCCACAAAGCCTTACTATGTACTGGTCCTTTACAGAAAAAGTTTCTAATTTCCCCCCTACCCACCATCTGCTTCTGATCTTTAAGGTCCTGGCCTCTGTTTACCTTTCCTGTTTCATTTCTCACCATATTTTCCTACCCCTTGCCCACGGAGTACTCTTTCAATCACATTAAACTTCAACAAAGCTCTGACCTTCACGATTGGTCCCTCATGTTTTCATCTAATTCGAGATAAGGAAGTTACTTCCTCTGAGTAGCCTTCCCTTCGCCCATTAGTCCGGGTGAGAGACTCTTCTGAGTACTCCCAAAGCACCTACACTTACCTTATTATTATTTCCTTACTCTCAGGGTGTATTATAATTGTTACTTTACTACCTGTCTTCCCCTTGAATTTATAAGCTCTCTGGTCAGGGGAAGTAGCTATCTTATTTAGCACCACAATCCCAGGGCCTAGCAAAGTGTCTGGTCCTTAGTTATGAAACAGCCTCTGAAATCCTGGATATCAATCATCAGAGTCTATCTTTTTAGCTAGCCTCAATCCGTGTAAAATGGAGATAGGCTGGGATTAACCATCCACCCAAAGGTGACTCACAACCCAAATTAAACCACAATCCCAAAGGCCTTGGCCAAAGGCATTAACAAAAGTCAAATGAATGTGTTCCTTCCTACTGTCTAAAGATGTTTATTTCTCAGAATAAAGAACTACTCCAGCTTATTAAACCTTTATAAACCTAATGTAGATGTTCAAGAAATGCCCACAAAGAAATCAGGACAGAACTTGAGAATCTGAATACCCTACCTCCAACTCTCACACTTACAGACTTTGGGTAAGTTTCAGTGGTTTTTGAGCATATGGTGTCTTATTAGAAAAAGCTACACACAATACAATCTGCACCTGCCCCAACCCCTCACCCTCCAAGCTCAAATGCTCATAAGGAAGAAGTCAAGCCAAACTTGACCAGGCAGCAGAATTCTCACCTCTCCGTACTTCGAAGATGCCAAGGCTGGTAGCTGGGGATGCTGAAGGTTCTGTGAAAGCTGGAAAGCCCCAATGCTGTGGATAAATACACATCTCTGCAACAAATCTATTTCAATACAAAGGATCAACTCCCCATGGGGCTGCTATATGAAAAAATTTAAGGACTAACAGTATATACTTCAAACTCCTAAACTCAAACTACTTCAGGATAACAGCCATCTATGTGGAAGGACGGTGCCTGTATAGAGATTTCAGAAGCTACTGACAGTATATATTTTTGGAATGAGGAATTTTATGTTCTCTAGTAGCATATTTTTCTTCTTAAGAGACTTACCTCCTAGGAACACTAAACATTTACAATATATAAGCTTAGACTGAGAAAGAGGCCATAAAGTTGTATGCTGTCTGGATAATCCCAGAATCCTAGTCCAGTCAAGGAGAGGACACTAGTAAATATGGCAATATTCAGAACTCAGGAACTGAGGCCAGGATTAGAAGAGCGGTTGCCAGCAAACACCCAAGCCACATTGCAAATGTTCACATAAACTAGGAAACACTTGCAGGATACTTCCAGGGCTGTCTCAAGTTCATAGAAAGTCAAGGTAACCAAATTCCAAATCAAATCATCAATGGACACCTATCATTATTTACCACCTAATTCAGATCTTCTAAAGGACTAGAAGTTGCAGGAGGTGCCCGTATAAGCTAGCAAAATGCCCTTTGCACAAAGAAACACCTAGGTTTGGAACCCATCTATTCCTGTCTACCACTCTATACACATTTCAGACTTTATTCTACTCAGATTCTCTGAGAAAATGTCACTCATCAGCTTAGCCCACCACAAACAAAACACTTTTCAAGATGAAAAGGAGTAAAAGGACTTTTATGTGGAGGTGGAAGCTGGAAGGAGAGCTCTCAGTCAAGCTCTATGACCTAGCTAGCCGATTATTTACAGGATCTTTGGGCGGGAATTGTTAATGAGCTTTTAATTTGGAGTGCTTAAGTTGCCAAAGTGCTCTGAGCTCCAGTGAAGCACCACGGAATCCATAAAGGAAACCTTATCAATCACTTTCCCGGCAGCTCCCTTCCCCCAACCCCCACCTCTCTGAGGAAAGGCAGCCAAGTGGGTTTCTAACCAAGATCACAGGCACACACATTAGCGGAGTCACACTCCAAGTCCCAGTTTATAAATTGGCTTTTAAAAGGTAGGGAATTCAGGTATAATATACTTAAGCTCCAGGCACGAACCCACTAAAACAAGGCCTGCTGTGTATGATAAAGTCAGAATAAAGCAGAATTTGATGAAGCCAATTTCTAGCAGAAACTCTACAGTCAAAAAAATCATTCAGCCAATCACAACCTACTATAGTTCAAATAGTGCATGGTCTTTGGCCAATGGGATTCGTGGTTTTTTTGCCCTTCAGCTGGCAGACTGGTAAAATGTCTGACTAGAGCTAATGCCAGACAACTATAGAGGCAAGGATAGACACCATCAATTTGCAAAACCCAGCCCAAAGGGCAGAATCCAAACCCCTCAATGAGGGACCACATTCAGCATCTTCCAAATCAACAGGAGCAGTTATATTTTGCAAGAACTCGAAGCCAACCCCCAATCCTAGTTCACGCTTTTTTGTTTTAAGAAAGCACCTGTTGCTGTAACATTTGCAGGAAAAACAAACAGAAAGCTAGCCCAGGTAGGCCCCTTATTCACGCCTTCCACCATCACTACTACCACCGCTACAGATTTACAAAGAGGTAAACTGACCTTATGTGTCTGTGTGGGTGTTGGGGAGGGGGAAAGGGGACGTTCTATCCACTATTTCCTTGCTGCATTTCTATCCTCTCTGGTCAAAGCTCTCTTCCTCCTCCCTGGTAATCAATCCCACGTAAGAAGCCAGTACCCTTAGTCACCTCCCCCAGTTTGTCTGGCAGAGCCCTGCCCCACGCCCTCTCCGCCTGACCATTACTCAGTAGATCACGCATCCAGGGTGAGCACATGGGCCCGCACCCAAGCTGCACCAATGGTGCGCGCCGCGACCCTCTCACCCCGCATGCATCAACCAAGGCCCACCCTGGGGAGCCTCTCCTTATCACCCACCCCAGGGTGTTGCCCCCAACTCGGGCCCATCCAAGTCCAGGGGAGAGTAAGGGGAGGGGCAGGGGGCCAGGAGACCAGCCCTCCTTCCCAGGGCCGCCCCCGCCCCCCGTCAGCAGCAGCAGGAGAGGCTGTCGCCATGGCAACGCCCGCTCCTTGGGGCCAGCGCGGCAGGCTCCCTCCAGGTGCAGGCCCCGACGTCTCCCTCGGCCTCAGCAGCCGTTCAGGGCAGTTTGCGGCAGCGGGCGCGGCCCGCGCCGACTGTGGCGCCGGCCGGACAGAGGGAGGGCCAGCTCCGCTCGCTCCCCACCGCCCGATCCCGGCCGCCTCAAAAGCAGCAGCCAGCACCACGAGTCCACAACACACCGACTCACCTCCGCGCACTCTGACCCCGGCCGACGCGGTGGACGGACGGGCGCAGTGGCCAATCGCTGATCCCGCCACCGGCTCCTTCGACCAATGGGGGTGCAGGTGGGCGGGGCTTCTTCTCCCCAAATGTTAACTCTCCTGCCGACATGCGCGCTAAGGTATGCCAAGATGGTGGTTCCCGGTGGCCGGCTTTATGGGACTTGTAGTTTTGAGGTGGCAAATACTCACAAGAGAGTGAAGGGGGGGGGCTCATTTTCCGACTGTGAAAGAAATTTAAACACACACACACACACACACACACACACACACACACACACACACACACACACACACGAAAACTTTCCAAGGCCTAGAGCGGACTCCAGGTTCACTTTCCGTTTTCCCAACTTAAAATATATTCTGTAAGGCGAGTATAGGCTCATCGATGACGTTATATTTGGATGACAACTTCTCATGATTTGTTCATTCAACAGGTCCTTACTGTTCACTCTCTGTGGGGAGCAGGGCGTGGAGGGAGAACCGAGAAGAGGGGTGTTTAGGCTAAGAAGAAAATGCTTAGTTTTTTCCCCCCCTAAGATTTCTCAAGGGCCCTTTCTCAGGAAGAGGGAAATAACTCGTTCAGGTCGGTTCCAGAGGGAACTTACAGGTTAAAAGGATTCCGCCCTCAACAGTGAAGAGTTTCCATGGACAGCCTCGGCCAGTCTCTTCCATCAACTGGAGAGTACTCTGGCCAAAGCCGGAGAAGTGTTTTTTCATCCAGATGATGACTCTCTGGGAAGTCAAGACTACCAGGTTCTGAGCTGGGAAACCCCAGCCTGGACCAAGCCAATGATGGCTTTGACAGCCTCCCAAACAGGCAGAAGTCATCTCCTGGGCCTAGCTGCAGTCACCAAGCCCTCTGCTGTCTGCATGTTTTCACTTAAAAGAAATCATGTCATTTCTGGACCCTGCCACCTTTGAGATCTCACCTTAACATAATGGTTCCCCCTTGAGCTGGCTTAGGTTATTTGACTCTGCACCTATTCATTTCATCCCATTGTTTTACAATTGTCTATTTCCTTTTTGTCTCTCCCCCAGGACTGTAAACTCCCTTAAGGTAAGCATTATTTCAGTATTGTTTATGCTGTTATCAGTAATATCCAGCACAGTGCCAGGCAAAAGTAGGCACTCAGTAAATGTTTGTGGACCAATGAGGTGAATAAACATCAGCAGTGACAGGTGTCACTTAACTCTAGGTCAGTAAAGTGGAAGCACATCTGCCTATATCTCCTGAATTAGGTCTTCCTCCTCCATAATGTCATCTAAATATTAATCCCAGTTGATTGGTGAGTCAACATATATTTATAGGGCCTCGCCTAAGTTTCAGGCCCTGTTTCTGTTGCTGAGGATTAATTGGTGTATAATACATATAAAGCCTGTATCCTCGTGGAGCTTTTATATTGGAGAGGAGAAGGATGAGGAAAAACAGACAATAAATAAGTAAGTAGATAAATAAAATTAGACAAATAAAAGGCCTGGATATAGCCTCTCCTGTCTCTGGCTTGATTATATCCCGAGTCTGGCCTGAGAATAGGGTACAGCCAACCTTCTTGTCTAAGAATGAAGTAAACCTGCACTATCTGGGTTGGAGACTCTCTTTATTTATTTTTTTATTTTTTTAAATAAATTTTTATTGTTCATATTATTACAAATGTTCCTCTTCCCCCCCTCCTCCATTGCACTCCTCCACCAGGTTCCCACCCCACCCTCTGTCCTTTCCCCACCCCCCCATTGTCCTCATCCATAGGTGCACAGTTTATGTTCAGTCTCTTCCCACATCCCCCTCTCCCCTTTTCCCCAAGAATCGTCAGTTCACTCCCCTTCCATACCTCTGATTCTATTATATTCACCAGTTAATATTGTTCATCAGATTTTTTTTTAATTTCCTTGGTTTTTAGATTCACTTGTTGATAGTTATGTATTTGTTGTTCATAATTTTTATCTTTATTTACTTTCTCTTCCGAAAGAACCCCCTTCAGCAATTCATATAATTCTGGTTTGGCGGTGATGAACTCCTTTAGCTTTTTTTAATTAGTGAAGCTCTTTATCTGGCCTTCGATTCTGAGTGATAGCTTTGCAGGGTAGATTATTTTTGGCTGTAGGTTCTTACTATACATCACCTTGAATATTTCTTGCCATTCCCTTCTGGCCTGCATGGTTTCTGTTGAGAAATCAGCTGACAATCATATAGGACCTATATTATAGGTGCTCCTTTTTATACTACCTGCTCTGCTCTTGCTGCTTTTAATATTCTCTCTTTGTCTTTTGCTCTTGGAATTTTAATTATGATTTATCTTGGTGTGGTCTTCTTTGGATTCCTTTTGTTTGGAGTTCTGTGCGCTTCCTGGACTTGTAAGTCTATTTCTTTCACCAGGTGGGGGAAGTTTTCTGTCACTATTTCTTTCAGTATGTTTTCGATATCTTGCTCTCTCTCATCTTCTGGGACCCCCATAATTCTGATGTTGGTTTGCTTGAAGTTGTCCCAGATGTTTCTTACATTATCTTCAATTTTCTGGATTCTCTTGCCTTCTTGCTTCAGCGGAGGAGTGTTTTCTGGCTCTTTATGTTCCAAATCTTTGACTTGATTCTTGTGATCTTCCATTCTGTTTTTAGGACTCTGTATAATATTTTTTTATTTCAGACAATGTATTTTTTATTTCTTGTTGATTCCTTATTATTTCTTATTGATTCCTTATTAATTCTAGTTGATCCCTTTTCATATCCTCATAGGTCTTATCGACCTTTTCTAGGAAATTCTTGAAAAACCTAATAAGCGTAGATTTGAACTCTATATCCAGTCGCTTTTTGTCCTCCATTTCTTTCCTTTGTGATCTATTTTCTTGTGTCAGCATTTTCGCAGCTTCCCTGAGTTGGTAGCCTTAAAAGTGTCTGAGTTCTGCTTGGATGGGGTGGGGTTTCAGGGTGGAGCCCACAGCCTTGGCTTCCGTCAGCCCCGCCTTATGGGGCTCCTGAGTCTCAGTAATCCCCAGGGTCCTTCAGTACAAGTTGCAAGCACCTCTGAGAGAAAGGTGCTCTTGATTTTCGCCTGCTACCAAACAGTCTAGGCTCTCCCTCAGTGAGCCCGGAACTGGGGTTCAGTTCAGTTGGAAGTGGAGTTGGGGGTGACGTTCAGAGCAGTCTGGAGCTTTTGTCTCCTTCCCACCAGGGCAATCCCGTGGCACAGCCAACCGTGTGCACCTCTGGGACCTCCTTTCACAGCTCCCCCGGGGTTCTGCCTTACAGCCCAGATCCCTCTGTATGAACCTGGGTCCCCGGGGACTGGCCTAGAACTGGGGTTCAGAGCAGTCGGAACTGGGGTCCAGCACAGTCCTTTGTCTCCTTCCCACCAGGGCAATCTAGCAGCAGAGTCGACAGTCCGTCCTCTGCCTGTAATGTGCGCGCCTCCGGGGGCTCTGCCTTTCACCTCTCCCCTGGGATTCCGCCTCACAGCCCCGGCTCCCTCTGTTTGAGCCTGGGTCCCCCGGGTCTGGCCTAGAACTGGGGTTCAGCGCTGTCGGGTCTGGGGTTCAGCACAGTCCGGAGCTTTTATCTCCTTCCCTCTAGGGAACGCCAGCCAGGCACTCAGCCTCCCTCCTCTCCGGCTCCGTCCTCTCAGCACGCCACGTGTCTCTGTACCTTAGGCTTTTCCAGCTCCTCCGCTCTTCCTTCTGGTTTTCTCCTTGCTTCTCGTTGTAGAATTTCCAGTCAGTCAACTTTCCTGTAGTTCTGGGTAATGTCCATTTCATATCTTAGTTGTATTTTATTGAAATTGTTGTGTGTGGCTGTGGCTAGGTGTTTACCTGTGCAGCCATTTTGGATTCTTCCCCAAAGACTACCTTTTTCGTGATGGTCAATTTTCTGGAGACTCTCTTTAAAGCCCAGCCCCAGTATTCTCCACGGAACTTTCCATGACCACCTTGATTTCCCCTCAGGATGTGCTTTTTTCTCCTTTGTGCTCTAGAGCTCAATTGTATACCTTCTAGGATAGGGGTGTCGAACTCAATCAGAGAAGGGGCCAAAATCTAAAATCCAGCCTAAATCGCGGGCCGAATGGTTTACTGAACAGTCATAAACTGTCATTGTGATGGAAACGCAGCGGAGTGCAGTGATGACAGCGCGGTGCGGGCCACATTGCAAGGCCTGGCGGGACGGATTTGGCCCGCGGGCCTTGTGTTTGACACATGTGTAATCTAGGACTTCAACAGACTAAGCTCTTTTTAGCTAAAGACCAGGCGAAATACATTCAAATAACAGAATAGTGTAAAAGCTCACTCTACACTTGGTGCCTTATACTGCTGCTAACCCAGCATTTGGCTTCATCAAGCCTTTGACACTGTTGTGATTTTCTGTTTTCTGGTTTCCTAGA